TTTCAGATACAGACCCGAACAAGCTTCGTTGTAACTGTGACAGCGCGCAGAAGCACCTGGCGGCATTTCCGGCACACGTGGAGTATTTCGATCAGTCATAGTAGTCGATCAGATGCCCGATGTTGTTTAGCTTCGATATTTCCTCTTGAATTTGTTTTTGGTTTAATAAGAGCAATAGGAGTATTTTTAAATCGTGGAGCCTCATGTTTATTTTCTCAACATGATAGCATTTTCTTTTTGTTGGATTGGGTGACTATGTGACATCGGAAGCGGGATTTATGTGACACGAACTAAGTTATTCAGGTGTTTGAGCGATGAGTAGTAAATATTAACTGAGCGGTAATATAGTTATATACAGTATTATGTTTTTGTATAAGAAGAGCGGTGTATAGCATTTCTAACTCTGCGACACAATTTTGAAGGAGGTCATATATACGACAGCACATTTCAGCGTGGCCAATATATCGACCATCAAAATGACGTCCATGGCTTACATTATCTGCCTTCCTGGCTATCTTCTGTAACGTTGGTTAGTTTGGTAAAGTGATTCGAACTTTCTAAAATAGGCCTTTTTTGAATGCCGTGCGTTGCTTAGGTACACAATTGTGCATACGTACGTGTTTATGGCAAGCATTTGTATTTCTATAATTCGAGAAACCACGTTCCTCGCCACGAACCAGGTTTTCCCGTGTTCACAGAAACCTAGTTTCTTTGCTCAAGAAACCAGCGGTTCTTGCCATGAATAGGTTTCGTGGCACGAACCTGGTTTTCTAGCCCTTAACGCGTTTATAGCTGGAATCTTAGTTTATCTGAGGCAAGAACTAGGTTTTGGAGGAAGAACCTAGGTTTCAGCAAGAAACCAGCTTTCAATACCGCGCCATTTGTATGAATCAATTTGAGGAAACCATAGTTTCAGCGACGAAACCAGGTTCGTGCTCCACAAAACCAGGTTTCTTGCCATGAAACTATGGTTCATGGCATGAAACCTGGTTTCTAGCCTATAAAGCGCAGTTATAGGCTGGGGAATTCTAGTTTCTGAGCAAGAAACGTAGGTTTTTGGAGCATGAAACACACTTTCAAACGCGCATTTGTATGAATAATCGATGAAACCATAGTTTCGAGCCGACGAAACCTGTTTCGAGCGACAGAAACCTTAGTTTTTCGTCTGTTGCTAAAGGCCCGTATCTTAGGATCGGTATCCGAGCGTGACGTAGGTTGGTTCAGCATCGGGTGGCACTAGCTCAGTAAATATTATAGAAATAACATACTAGTTGGCCGCTAATTAATTGAAATATTGTCTTAACATAATTAAATATGCTGTTATGCTTTAAATGTACGAGGTGTACGTGGTTGTATCTGAGCGTGCTTGTACCGCGTTGCAGTGGGTGTACCCGCTGTACGTGGTGCTACAGGCGTTAACCCGCGTCGATACACGCACGTACACGCACGTTCACGCTGGCACACGCCGACGTGCCGCGGGCACACGCACCGTTACACGTGGGTACAGCACGTGCACGGTGGTACACGCCACGTGCACGCACGTGCACGCAGTACGCACGTACAGCGCGGGTACACGCAGCGTGCAGCGGGTACCGCGAGTACCGCAACGTCATCTTCATAATTATAGCACAGCATATTTAATTTATTTTATACAATATTTAATTAATTAGCCTAACTAGTATGTTAGTTCGTATAGTATTTTACTGAGCAGTGGCCCGAGTGGCTGAATACCCGCTTGACGTCACGCTCGGGGATTACGAATCTAGATACGGGCCTTAGCAACGACGAAACTAGGTTCGTTTCCGCTGAACTAGGTTTCGTCGCTCGAAAATATTGGTTTCTCGAATATTATGTACAAATGGCCGGTGGAAAGTGGGTTTCTTGCTCCAAAACCTAGTTTCTTGCTCTAAGAAACTAAGATTCCAGCTATAACTTGCGTTATAGGGCTAGACCAGGTTTCATGCCTGAAAACCTAGTTTTTCATTGGCAGAAAACCTGGTTTTGTTGAGCCACGAACCTGGTTCGTCGCTTCGAAACTATTGGTTTCTCGAATTATGATACAAAATGGCGCGGTTGAAGTGGGTTTCTTGCTGAAACCTAGCGTTCTTGCTCCCAAAACCTAGTTTCGTTGTTTCAGAACTAAGAATCGCAGCTAATAACTGCGGTTATAGGGGCTGAAACCAGGTTTTCATGCCATGAAACCTTAGTTTCATGGCAAGCAAACTAGGTTTATGTGAGCAACGAAACCTGGTTTCGATGCGAGGAACCGTGGTTTCTCGAATTATGATAAAATGCGCGCGTTGAAAGTGGGGTTTTTCTTGCTGAACTAGGTTCTTTTGCTCCCCAAAAAAAAAAAATCCTAGTTTCTTAGCTCACGAAACTAGATTCCAGCTATACTGGCGGTTATAGGGTAGAAACCAGGTTTCGCTGCTACGTAACGTAGTTTCATGGCAAGAACCCTTGGTTTTCTTGAGCCAAGAAACTAGGTTTCTGTGAGCACGAAAACCTGGTTTCGTGCGAGGAACCGTGGTTTTCTCGAATTATGTACAAATTGGGCTTGCATATACGTGGTGCTGCACGGTAGTGCGTGCGGCAGAGATATTTATCAGAAGGTAACCATAATTATAGCCTTTTCGGTTCTGATGACAACGTCAATTGGTGTGTGTAGAGGAACACTAGTTGCACATCGTTAAAGCTAAACAAACCGAATACCGCATGTATTGGAGCTACGGTCATTTATTCTGATGTCATTGCAGTCGTGCTGCAGCATGCATTGCTCAGCTGCGGGAGGATTCTCTCACGGGCAATCTCACACCAGGGACGTACGGCGGCTATCATAACAGCGGAATCATTCGGTACGCTTGTTACTACGCCGGAGAGTCAACAAATCACGTGACTCGTTACGGCGATGACGTAATTTTTCTCGTTGATCTGGCGAGTATCTGCGCGGGGTTTGTCTATATTCAGGCCGGTACAGGAGATAATTTGCATATTTTGTCACTTGGTTTGTGTTTTTTATTATAAACCAATCAGATGTTAATCGCGGTTGGAGAAGCGAGGGGAGAAGCTGGTGGGACAGGAGGAGGGGGAAGAATGGGAGAAGGTGGTGGAGGAGGAAGAACTGGTGGAAGGCAGGAGGGGAGAGCTGGTGGAGGAGGGGTTGGAGAGGAGGAGGTGCGTGGAGAACGGTGCAGGATGTGCCCTTCTCCTGCAACACCTTCTCCCTTCTCCACCACCTTCACAACACCTTCTCACCACCTCTCCTTCTCCACCTAGCTTTTCTCCCTTCTTCCCTCTTCGATTTCTCACCAGCTTCTTCCCTCTCCTTCTCCACCAGCTTCTCCCGCCTCCTTCCTTCTCCACACTTTCCTTCTCCCCTTTTCCTCTGTCTCCACCGGCTTCTCCCTCCTTTCCACTAGCTTTCTCCCCCTCTCACCACCTTCTCCTTCTCCCCTCCTCCTTACTCCACCAGCTTCTCCCCTCCTCTTCTCCACCACCTTCTCCCTTCTCCAGCCAGCTTTCTCCCCTCCTCCTCCTCACCTTTCCTTCTCCCTTCCTCCTCCTTCACATCTTTTTTTCACAGCTGACTAGTTGAGCGTCACGAGACACGCGATTAACATCCTGATGCGTTATAACAGCAAACCCCGTGATAAATATGCAAATTTATCTCCTGCTACCCGGCCTGAATATAGACAAACCATCTGCGCGGCGCAGTATCGTGCGGCGATCTGATGCATGTCGTATATGGTGGCACAGTGGACAAAAATCAAGAACATGATACTTATTACTATTGCCCGCATATAATCGACCACTGGGTGAAGCGAGGAATATTATGCCTCGCATATAATCGAATAGGCTGCATTATATGCCGCATTATAATCGCGGCCAATCAAATCAAGGAATTATTGTCACCATAATAACTTCCGTCCCCGTTTTACACTTCGTTCCCGTTTTACAATTGCATAATGTATTGGGACTGGTATCCGGCCCTCACGTCTGCTACACAATGTACACCGCTCTGCGACGACAGTTCAGGCCGCTGAACCAGGTTTCTAGGACGACGTGAAAAATCTAAACGGGCGCAAGGCCATAGCATCTTTTGCAAAAGCGCTAGCAACTGCCATTACATGTTATCAGCGAACAGCAATTGCGTCTTAGACGGTGATTTTTGGGGACGGACTGTGTCCGTCCGGCGCTAGACCGCCGGCGAATATAGGTCGCCCGTCGGTCAAAACGGGGACGGGAAGTTATCTTTATGGTGGACTATTCCTTTGTTTGATTGGCCTCCGATTATATGCGGGGCATATATTTCGATTATATGCGGGCATATTTTCTCGCTTCCCATTGAGGTCCGATTATATGCGGGATATAATTGTAGTCATGTATTCTTGATTTTTGTCCACTGTGCACAACATAGGTCGTATGCTGACTCAAATAGGATGCACTTTTCCCCCGGCGTAGATAGGAGTGCGTCAGGTGATGTGGCCTGCACTTTGTGTGGGGATTAGGGTTTAGGGTTAGGGTTAGGGAAAATAAGGTCATGTCTAGCACGGAGTAGACTGTGGAATCTTTCTGTGGGAAGATTTTGGACTTTGAGTGTACGAAGTGGACTAGTGCTGCCACCGTAGCGGGGTTTGAGGGTGTTTGCTATTCCCCCGGGCGTGGAGGGAGGTCACGTGATAACGGTTGGACGATGACGTTTAAACATTAACCTACGATAACCCTCACTCCACAAACGCCAACCTATCACTCACATAAATATATAATGTTGTCGCCGCCGCTATTATATAGGGAATTGTGATCCACAAAAAATTAATCCTATGGTGTGCGGGACAGATATCATTGAATGCAAAAAACCCTACACCCTAACCCTAATCCTAACCGCTAACCCTAACCCTACCCTAACCTAATCCCTAAACCCTAACCCTACCCTAACCCTGCCCTAACCCTAATTCCTAACACTATCCCAACCACTAGTGCTGCCACGTTTGCGGTCACCTCCTCACGCGACCGGGGATAAGCATTACCCGGAAAGTGACACCGCCCTGCTGAAACTGCATGCCAGCGCCCCTTTTTCGTACAACTCCTGATTACAAGATTTAATAATTGAGTAATTTGATAAATTAGTAAACAAGAAATTAATTCCTCCGGTTGTGGTCTGCAAACTGAGGGCTGGCAGCTCAAAGTTGGCAATGCACGCACTATTTGAAAGTGGATGGGCTAGTGTGGCGCCACCGTGTCGTTGTTTAAGCCAATGGAAAAATACAAAGAAACCCTTTAGGCGTCATGTTAAAAATTTCGTTCCTGTTTGTCTTTGATCGAGGTTTCACTGACATATGATTGTCACATTGATGCACCGTGAGGGAGGTGTTAGGAGATTTACTGCGGTATATAGATCTGCGTGCGCGCCTTACTGCGCTTGAATTTCTACTCATTATCACATTGATGGTACGTCGAAGACTATTTGCTTTAGTTTTTACTTTTATTCATTCATTGCCTATTTCAGTGTGTTTGTTTGAACGGGGTTTATCGATTATTATTATTAGGGCTTTACGTGCAGCCCCCTATGCCAGTTCCTACCCGTCGAACGATGCGCCGACACAGGCTGACGTTTTGATGACAATATCTACGTTCAGACCAACCAGGAAGCTTCATAGCCGCCCTGCGAGAGAGAAGGCAGCCATCGAGATACTCTTGACCGCCTTAAAAGGTGAGATAGTAGGAGATGAGAGAGAGAGAGGAGAGAGAGAGAGAGACTATATATATTCAGATGCGAGAGGATCGAGCAGAGAGAGAGGAGAGAGAGAGCGGAGAGAGAGATCGACTCGAGCTGAGAGAGACGAGAGAGGAGACGAGAGAGAGAGAGCAGAGGAGAGGGAGAGGAGAGAGCGTATGCGAGGAGAAGATGGCAGCGAAGGGGAGTGACGCTCGCTGGAGAAAAATTAGACGAAGAAAGGATGGCGGGCGAGCGAGGAGAGATTAGAGAGCGGGAGAGTCGAAGAGAGAGAGAGGGGAAGGGGAGTGGAGAGAGTGAGAGAGAATGAGACGAGAAAGAGAGAGGGATATATATCAATATTATCAGGATTAAATTTAATCCTAAAGAGGCGGAGTAAGAAGAACAGTTGGTGTAACGCCTATCAATCTTTTAGTCAATTACCCGTATGATAATAACACGTATAATAATTGAAATCGTACGCATGTCGGGGTTATGCACTTGTGCACTGCAATCAAATATATTACCGCACCTTATACGTTCCAGCGCAAGAAATTTCACTTTTGAAAGCTTGCGAATCCGACGGCAGTCGTCCATTCTTGGCCAATATGTTCCGGTCGGGGCAGATAATTAATACGTTCGACGTTGACGTACTGGTTACGACCCGCGCGAACGACGGGCACCCGTGCGGGGAATTACTCCCATGACTACTGTCCTCACTGGTTGCACCGTCGTGACCTTACGTCTTTTATATAATTTGGCGGTGGCCTTAGGGGATGAATTGCCTGTGCATTACAGTTTTTACCGCCCTTAAGCCTTACGACTGATCCATTCAGAATGGTTCTCAATCGCGAGAGTAAGTTTACGTGCGACAGGCACTGCTAGCAGACCAGCTAGCATTCTTGAGGCCCAGGTACCTCTATCTGCTCGCTTGTTGAGCGGTATGAGATGACATGACAAACGTAGCACCGTTTCGATGGAATTGATTTAGTGACCTTGAAATCATGGGCAAGGAATCTACCATTCAGACCAACGCGGCGCCGGTAGCTCTACTAATAATACTAGGCAATGTACTTATAACGGATTCCAAATGCTAATATTTTGTATTTGCAGGCCACATCTATCAAAAGAATGTTACTAACTTGCTTTAAATTAATTAACTAAAACAATGGGTAAAATAGGTGATTATGGAGCGTAAGGTGGCGCGTTCCTTAGCGCGCGTGGCCGCCTATATATAAGTATGTTGCGTTAAGAATTAACTATTGCTTTTATATTATGTTCATTGGACGTTAATTTGCTGCCTCTGCCACACATGTTCTATTACAATGCACGCATTATGCGCCCCCGTTCGCGTCAACAGCCATTTTGGCACACCGAAATCTTTTAAGTAATGATTGACACACAGGCTGGATTTAGCTGTTTCTGGATCCATGTGATCAGATAGAACTACGAAAATCCATCGGCATATTACGTGACACAAGGCTTTCACGGATGGTATGGAAAGCATGAAAAGTGAGATTGCTGTTTGTTGTATTGTGTTGTACTGGTCAAGCGACACGTAGCCATGGTGACCGGTCTGCGTTTTTGCGTTTTTGAAAACGGGATCACGACTATTTGCTGGGGAATGTGCATCATTAAGCTGTCACATATTTCAGGCGGGAGTTCTGAACCTTGAAGTGAGGTTATTTAGCATGGATGAAGTTTTTCATGGTTTGTCTATGTGTCGAACTCGCTGAGTGTTTATAATTAATTTTTCTGATGTAGTGGCTTATTCAGGTCTGCTGCTATAGACGCCCCTCTACTGCTGCCCAACACCAAACAATACCTGACCTTTCTGTATCACAGCGTCCTTGCAGAGGCGAGCCTTCTACAATGATAATTTGGCTACATGGACAAAAACAGGCGCTATACAACATGAAAAAAAGGAAGCAAATTCTGTGCAAGTAAAGTGATTTAGGGTACACTTTAACATCATTTTCACATCATACTGTACGCATTCACACACACACGCACGCACACGCACACAAAACATACGCATCGTACGCACGACCACGCACACGCACACACGCCGTACGCAGCAACACACAAACATACAACACGCACGTACGTACGCCGCCACGCACGACACACGCGACAGGGCAACAACACACACACACGACGCGCCGCGCGCGCACGCATCACACACCCACACGCAGCTACGCACCCACACACACACA